TTGTACAAAAAAGACAATTGTGTGACAGACATTATTTTTAACCGACTATAAAAAAGGAGGTTATCAATTCGACTTTTATGTGTAGGTATGTCACGCGATTGCTCCGATAATTACATTCTCGCATATTTACACACTAAATAATAATAATAATATAATAGCGCACATACTCAACATAGCCCCGCTCTGGGAAACCCTGTGTCGCAGGTGCGATGGACACACACATAGACAACCACAAATTACACCCAAACTCACGAGAGAAATAAATGTAGGCCAAATATTTCTCCCGGCCTGGGAATCGAACCTGGGACCCCTGCTGGCAGTCCGGCATGGTAACCGTTCGGCCACAGAGGCAATTAAATGCTCACAATACGAAATAATTACCTACAAAAACTGCCATGTCATAATTACGCAAAATACCACATTGTAAATAAGAACGTAAAGTTTTAAATCGATTGTGTACAATATAGTTGAGAATTATAGGTAAGTGTAATTGCTTATTCGAGAAATACTTGCTATGTATATTGATATTTGCTTGCTTAAATTATGCACAATAATAAGATAAATATCGCACTGCTATTACATTAGTGTTGTAACTCAAAATATGTGAAATTCAAGATTCTATCATGACTGAACGTAAAATTTGATTCTCCACACGTCAATAAAACCGTCGTTAGAATTTTGTAAAAGACAAACAAAAGATCAAATCAAAAAGATCAATTTATGTGAGCCATTACTGGCCGAAACAATCCTTATTCAAAAATATTAAATTATGTTTTCCCTTTTATATTTAAGTGTATTTGCGCAAGTGCGACATTTTCTAGATTATGTGTAATAAACCTTAACCTATACATCAATTTTAATGATCTCTTACGGGAAGTGAATAATTCGTTTTTAATCGATTCCGAGAAAATACACTTTTTGAGTTAATACACTGTTGTATCAACAGTGCGATATTATTATTTTTACTTTTAACCGACTTCAATTCGAAGAAAATATTCCATCAGTAAGGGTGGCCAATTAGGGGATGAATCCAGTTTATTGAATTTCACCCCCTATCCGTTAATCTATTTCAATAAAACTTGGCACATAGATGTAATTCCAATGAAAGTAAAATGTAATGGCAACCTAGAGCTGATTTGATGATGGAAATGGCAGACAGATGGTTGAGGAACTGCTCAACAGTGTACAGCAGCTACCTTATGTTTAGGCTCATATTACCTATCCATTTTGAGGAGGACGTCCATATTATGCATTTCAGTTACCGTTGAAGTAACCACGGTATCGAACACAGCGAATGCGGAGCTAACTTTCGGAGTCGTTTTTTTAAATAAAAAGGTTACTATACGAATAAAATTCTTGTCAAGCCATTTGCATTTGTCATATGAGCATGTCTAAATCTTTGTTCGAAAAAATATATTTAGATATACTCGGGTAGGCAGAATCTATGGATCTCCACCTGCTACGGTCTTGACAAACTTCCTTCTCTTCGTCCAAAAATATATTTATAGAAAGTAAAAAAAATATTATAAATAATTTTAAAAAATCTGCAAATGTATTAATTGCCCGAAATCGGATTACACCTTTTATTTTCATATTAATTTGTTACATTCTGTATTCTGTTTATTTAATGTTGGGTCATACATAAATTCAATTCTCTTGAAAAAATGTATTAAAAAATTTTTTTTTTTCGTAGTATTTAAAATTCCAATATTTTTCAGAAAAACATCAGAGTTTCTGGAAATGATCTTTTTTGAAAACTTTCGGACGATTACCTAACATGTTAACTGAATTGAATCTTAAATTTATTCCCATATAAAAATTAAAAATTAAAAAATTAAAGAGAATGAGATAGATTAGATTTATTTAGATTTTGCTTTCTATTGAGTTTATTTAGATACTATTTTATTTTTTTCTGTTATTTAGATTTTATTCCTTATTTTTTATTATATTTTTAATTTTACGATAATCGGAGTGTTGACAGCGATTTCCAATTTAATCGACTTCCAATATTATTTACATAATATTCAACGATTCCTTTCAACTAATAATTAAGGCTTGATGTGGCTGCAAAATAGCCGATTAACTTCAATAAAGCATTGACTCTATTTAACCTGTCACGTCGTACTTACTAAGAAATCCGATAACATCTTGCTTCCATCGATCTGCATGACCGTACTTACTGTAAGTACAGTGCCTCTCAAAAGACACGACTTTAGTTTTAATTTTTAAAGTTACTTGTAACAAAAGATTATGTATGAATAGACTTAAGAATCTAAGCCTCGACTGTACTCTTGAAAGTTCTCACAGCATCATGAGAATGCTTTTTACAATCGATATTCAAAAAAGAACATCGATGTCTCTGTTGTCAACGAACAATTCTTTCTGAGATCAACCGCACCGACTTACATTTGAACTTCAACTGTATTATGAATTCATTAGAGTTGAAAATGATTTGTTTGAGTTGAGAATTTTATTGTTCCGTTTGGGTATGAATTGCGTCACCGACGAAAAAGACAAAGCACGATCGATCGAGCCGTATTGTCGAGCTAATGATGAGCCAAAACATTATTTTTAGAAGGTATACGGCTAGCTTGCTTTATATGGGGTACAGACGATCGGGTCCGAGATACAATTCGCTTTTATGGTGCCGGTAGCGCTGTAAACATGTTCAAAGTTTTCCAATACAGAGTTACTGCTTCTAAATCGATCGACAGCTTGTTTCGAATGCAATCAATTGTTTTCAATCTTCGTTGGACCATTTATATTCCTTTCGCGGGACCGCGTTTAACCGAGTAAAATCACTGTTGTAGGCAGAAAATAACCCCTAACGTGTCAGAAAATTATACAGTTCGCCTCAATTATACTTAAAGCATCGCGGGTAACGGTTATTATTATATTATGCACTATACACATTTTAATGTTAATGAAAAATTTTTGTCTCTGTGTTGGTTTCGTTGATGTCTTTTGTATGCATGTATTGTATTGTAGGCAGTGCCTTGCCTACAGTGTAGAGGAATTTCTTTTAAAGAAATTGTAATTATTATTTTTAATTTTGGACATTTGTATTTTGAAAATATTTAAATTTTTATTTGTATTTTTGTAGTTCGTATTTCTCTTTTAATTATTTTATTTTATATTAACATTAAAATTATTATTTAGCTTAATGACGATCATGTTATCCCTTGACATTATATTTCGAATTGTGATATGATGAAATAAATGATTCTATTCTACTATATTCTACATTCAAAAGTATGCTTACAAAATTTTATAGTATCGCCAATTTCAAAACTATGTAAAATGGATTAGGTTCATTTTCAATGGAAAGTTTTGACAAGTTGTATACTGATACTTACAAGAGAATGTAAAGCTCCCATATTTAGAATTTTTTTCAAACAATGTACCTAACTAATATCGATGAATAATATTTTGCGGTACAGAAAAGGAGGACTGCAAATATCCATGCAATGCAATTCCACATTCAAATTTCCAATCGTTCGTTCGACAGGTTTCAAAATTAGAAAATTAGCAACGCATGTCAACCCGGTGTGGTCGGAGTCCATTCATTCGGCCACAAAAGAGGACACTATCGAGTGTAATATTTTTTGTGTAGCCATAAAAGTTGCCGTTTGTTTCTCGATATTGTGAGCAAACATTTGGTTTTGGAGATATTGTTTTGTGACACTTTTCAGTCTATAATGTAGGACAATGACTCTATGCGCTCCCCGTAGTTTAGTACAATGAGGTCCAATTTCGTAGACAATAAATCGTCTAATATGTTTTGATGTTTTCGGTTGTGTCGCTGATTGGGGGTTTACGAGCGTGACGATGTTGTATGGAATGCAAGTTTTGTCAGCCTTTTGAGCATTGTGTCATTGTAGCGTTTGTTCTCTGAAGAAAAAGAGTATTTAACGGTCGCGTGTCAAGCTAGGGCCCGTTACGTTTACAATTTGAAATCTTTTGATCGCTGATTTGCCGTGGAACGCTATTATAATATTTCAGTCAACTGTGCTTACTTATTTTTGAAATGATTTTCTTTAAAGTACTGAATGACAATAAACATTTTTAGATATTAAAAGTATCTGAAAAATAATTTGTTTTAGGAATGTTTATTGCAGATATCTGCGTAAATTATATTCCTGTGAAAAGCGTCAATATATTTATAAAAATTATTTTAAAAAGCTTTGACTCATAATAAGACGATGCAATAATCAGTATACATAATGCAGTGAATGATGTGTGGGTGTGTACTTAAAGTGAAAACAAAACATTGGAGGCGGCGCGTAGCCCGGTAGCCGCGGGCGTACATAAATAACCGGCTTCACCGCAAACAGGCCGTATTTACGGCAATATAATATTTTATACATGCAGTACACGGAGGCTCTAATACGAGCCAACCTACACAATAACGAGAACGCGCGGAAGGCGTAACCCGGTGGCAATCTCTCGTCTCGCTCGACGACGCCCCAGGCGCGCGCCTAAGCGAGACGAACAACCACAAATTTATTGAAACGAAAAAAAAATCAACTGCTACTGCACTCCGCGTCGCCTCCACAGAACTAGACACATTTTTCCACGTCTCCGTGTGCGAGCGCAATGCATACCGCGGGTCGTGAGAGTGAGCGAGACGGGCAGTGGTCGGCGAGTAGCGCGCGCAGCTAAACGGTTGGTCATGTGGGCGCTGCCGGTGTTGCGCACGCGCAGCTACTTCGACGCGGCTGTGTTCCACGCTCACGCTGCGTCGTCCGACTCGCTTAGCCCGTGTGACCTTTACTTGGTGAACTTAGGAAGCGTCGTGAAACGTCCATTAGGCCCCTTCGTCCCGCGCAACAATGAGCATCCAGCACAACAGCGGCAGCACTGGAGTGAAAGGGACGACAGGCGATCGCCGATGCCGTAGCTAAAGGTATTCGTAGAATGCGTGATCTGTATCGGGCGGGCGGGAGGCGGCGCGGGGCGCGGGGCGCTTTCGGAAGCGGTGGCAGCTCCCATCGACTCCTGGGGTTATTCTTCCTCAGGCCACTGCTGCTCGAGCTACGTACCAAGCGAGCCAGTTTTTTCTGTCCACCGCAGCGCACGCCACACACTCGTTAAGCCCGTGCCAACACGAGAAGTCGCCACTAATAAATTACTGTTTTTTACTCCACACGAACAGTCTCCGCCGCGCTGCCGAGTAATTTATACGTAAAAATAAACATTAATCAGCAATAATCGCAGCTGGTAGCGCCAGAGCACTTACTGTGAGTACTATGACGTCTCTTATTATTTTTCATAATGAAATCGAGCTCTCTTAATTTCGGTTTGCAACATAGCTGGATGTGTGCTTGAGTTATTCGAAGCAGAGCCTTTATCTCACATCGAGATTCATAAATAAAACCCGGCTGTTCGATTAAGAGAGAAACGATTGGATCTATTTGTGTTTTGTTTCCAAATATGTGTGAATATTTGTTGAATACACTACGGTGTCTTGATTTAGATACTTATTTCATATTATCTTTGAGTACAAAACAATTTCAAATGTTTTGCCATGATTGACACGTATTTGCAAACAGTATTATGTTTTTATTTTGTGTAAATTTATGTTTTGTTTTGTGTGTAGAGTTGGTTTCCATTATTGCCATTTAATACTGTTTCTTATTAGAGCAATTATTATTCAAGTTCTAATGAAAAGTGATTTTTTCTACGATATTTTGTCCTATATATTTTTTTATTCATAGTTTTATTTTTGTACAACTAGACATAGACGAATATAATTTATGAAGGATTCCGAAAACCGATTAAAAAAGTTCCCATCCTTTGGTCCATAAAGAGAATTATTTGAATAATCGAGGTCTATTATCATGTAAATTGACCTTAGCGCCTCTCGGCGCTATGCTTCAAAAGGACATCGAGAAATATTGTCCACGTTATGAACATTTTTTTTGGGGATCCATTGGCGGTTTACAGATTTTTACCAATAAATCATAAGAAACAATATTGCTACTACCTCGATTTATCACTTTAAGTCAAACTTGTCGATTTGTGAGTTTCAAAAGCCGTAATTTAAAACCGAAAACTTATAGAATAAAGCTAAATAATAATATTCTTATATATCATACAGTGCTGATTTATGTATATTAAAGGTTAATGATTAAGTATTCAATTGACACGTACGTACTTTTATAAATTAAAATCTAGAGTTGTGAAAATATTCTTTTAAGTTCCAATCATATTCTGCAGAACCTTCGAAAATCAAACTTGAATCAAACAAAACTGAATTTAATCTAAATTTCTTTTGTGACAAAACACATGCACTCGAAGTTAAACCATTCACAGTCCGATTCTGTGACCATTTTGTTACGATTTATGGTTTATTGAACAATAAAAGAAGAACGGTTGAAGCAAAAACTTCGAATTTGAGATATTTTCGAGAGTATTAACGCCTTTTGTCCACATTCAAAGACCGCCGCGTGCATCATTATGTGCAATTTTTGACACTTTCGCTTCCCACGGGTTAATAACGTTTTCAAGGTATCTATAACTGTTAAAATATCTAATATCATGCCATAAAACATCATCAGTCGGAGATTTGTTTCTTTGCAGACCTTAACCACTAAACGTTACATTTTTTCCATACGTAATATGCTTTAAAACCTCTCTCTATCTTAAATATAAATCTTAATTATTTAACAACATAAGGAAAACAGTTAAATATATATAAAACACAATACTGCCCTTTCAAAATAAATTTATGAACGCGGAAATGCAAACTTAACCATTCGACGCCTTACGATTAAAATTACTTTAATATCGCTATAATCGTTACAAAAATGAATAACAAGTAGTGTTCAGGCACTTAGTAATTAAGGCTTTGTTTAAGTACGAATAAAAAGTGACTTATAAATATAAGCTGGAGTCAAGTAAAGGACAATGCGTTATAACGTATAGCTTACCGTTGTGTTTGAATTATTTCTTGATTTACGTTAGTGTACCATCTTAGAGGTGCCTTTAAAGAGTAACATAGTTAGTGTAAGATGGTAGCACATTGTTTCTTTACTATCTGTTGTTCTGGCCTGTTATAATTTTTTACCTGCAGATTTTTTCTATGTGTAAAAAATATTTTACTTAAAAAATTTGCTAAATAAAACTGAGTTCAACTGTTCAGTTGACCAGTTTCAACTTTTAATTTACGAACTATTTTTTGTTTTGTAAAAAATATATACATTTTACCTTATAGATATTAAAATTAATAATTAACAATTCACTGAAACAAACAAAAACCGATAAAAAAATACATTCAACTAAGCCCAAAATAAAAAAAAAACTTAATATCCTACTAAAATCCTCATTACAAATAATATGTTTGTCACCCTATATGTGTCAAAAACCGTAGAAACTAAAAGTATTTAGCGCCATAAAAACAACTGGTCGTAACAACTTGCCCTTTATAAACCTATAATTATGTTAACCCGTACTTGTTAATTAACTAAAACGGTCAATTTGGACTTTCGGAATAAATGTTGTATAAACCTACAGATTACAGAAGTGTGAAACTTACATTATTTAATATTACGTGTACTTGAATATTGAATAAATAATATAATAATACGTGCTAGACAATCTCACCAATTCCTAGGTCTCAAACTAGGGAATACCCTGTACTATGAGTACCAGTGTTCCCAGAACACCCAGACCAGAGACAGACCAGTTAGTAGAAGTAGAGCTCTTTGTGAAAGAGTTCATTCAGGGATGTACCTTACCTATTTCTGCCACCAAGCGGTAATGCCAGCATTGCTGTGTTCCTGTTTTGAAGGGTAAGAGTGCTGGTGAAATTACAGGTACATGGAACTTGTCTACTTATGTCTCTGGGTGACGGGCGCAGAGGCAGTGCCCCTCAGATCTTTGCGATTTAAAGCTCTTGACTGGCACTGTAACTGTTAGTAACAGGTTATATGCTACACAGCTTACCATCAGGCCCACGATTAGTTCGTCCCTTCACTTGATATTATAAAAGAAGACCAGAACCAATTTAGAAAAGTTGATTTCCAAATTGGTCCTACCGGAAAGCAAAACCTCCGCATCCAGCCCCTACAATGTGTATCTTTACGCCACCGAGGTAGTCAGTACTTCAGCATATAATCACCATGATATACTTGAATATCTAGGAATTAAACTTGGCACGAAAAAATCAGCAATCACTATTATCGTTGTTCAGAATTTGTTCCGTTGGTAGTTATTCCTTATTATGATTAAAAGGCGCGGATATGTTAAAATGACGAAATCGTCGGGGATAGTGCAATTACACGTAACTAGCATTGGATTCCACTTCGGTAATTTTGTGGCTGAATAAAATCCGCGTAAATGTCGTGGCAACCAAATTAGCGTGATTTACGGGAATCTATTATTATTAGTCCGTAGACAACATACGTAAAGTAATACTTACTGTACAATAGTGAAAGTCGTAGCCAATGAAATCACAAAGTAATAACTTTAAATCCCTCTCCTGTAAAATTTGGTTTAGTGCAGATGCGCGCCTTTTACCAATGCTACATACGCGGGTTTGAGCTATCCCCGACGAAATATTACTTAATTAAACAGAGTCCTTCTCCGCTCCATTTTAAGGAGACCGATATAGAGCGCGACATACTACTATACCTGTATAGAGAATAACAATATCTCGATAGGGCTAGGCATACGTTTTTAAAACATTTACGAGTAGGTTTTAGTAGTACCTGACATAATATGCGTAAAAAAAATCGCCCATATCTAAAGACTAAGTTACTTATTTTTTATTAGCCACAACGGACTTTAATGTTTTCTATTTAAGGTTTCCTTTCTTATTCCACAAGCCCTCAATTCAATCGAATTGTATCGAAATTTGTCTAGTCATTAAGCATTATCACACATGAATCGAATATATAATACTTCTCTTTTGCCGTCGGGTTAAAATATCTGATTGGCAATGTAAACCATTAAAGTTAAGTTTATGTGTGTAGCGAGCTAATTCCTTAATTTGAACGCCTGAGGCGCTTAATTTACATCACGTAATTGCTGACATTCTGTTCAATAGTCCAAGAGGCGATATTGATCTGTAGGACTATTTAGTTGAATAGGTTTGGTTGCTTTTTAAAAAGAGCTTTCTAAGCACCATATTATGATGAAAACGCTAGATAAAAGCACCAAAAAGATTTAACATAAACTGTTCTGCAATGGTAATTGTCTTTTTAAAAAAAGGTTTAGACCTTAATTACTTAATTATTATTATTTAATATTTCAAATTTTTAACTTAATAAGAATAGTAAGGAAACTTTTTATTGGCCTGGAAACTTTTGAAAACGAACATTTTGACGATATTTGTAAGCGTACAGTTTTTAAAATACGGGCTCCTGGACTATGCGTAACGCAGTGGCAATAACACGCGCCGCCTGCGCAATCTTCCAATTTGGGGTTTGACGATTTAAAACCAATAGCTATGAAGTTTTTTCTACTTACCTTATTTCTGGTTTACTAAGTCCAGCTACAAAGACGGACTTTAAGGCGAGTTTGTATATATATGCGTGTGTGGCTATTTAAGGGAAAAAGGTATCAATTTGTACGTTGTTTGTTAGTTACATGGTATCTGCAAGTCTACTCTAGGAAAAGCCCATCTACATGAAATGTAGAAAATGTCTTAGCCACGGTTAACGTGCCCGCTATACTCGAGCCAAGCGGCATGTCGCAGACAGACGGCAAACGCCCATGCGGAATGACTCTCATCCCTTGGAGTATGGGCCGGGCACTGGTGTGGGACGCCACATGTGCCGACAAACTTGCCCCGTCCCATCTCCAGCACACTAATAAGACAGCTGGCGGAAAGAATTAAAAGTAATAAGTACCAGAGTCTCGGCTCCGACTACGCATTTACAGTCTTTGGAGTCGAAACCCTTGGCCCGTGGGTTCCCAGTGACCTTCATCTGTATAAAATTTTATCCAAAAAATTAATAGACTGGCTGGGAAACCCAAGAGCCGGCAGCTACTTTGCCCAACGCATTAGCATAGCCTTACAAAGAGGGAAATGCCGCTGCCTGCCAGCATCTTGGCCACCTTGCCGCAGGGACCCAATTTTATTCATATAATTTAAAAATCCTAGTTTTACTTTCTTTTAGTATTTAAGCTTTTATTATACCTGTATATTGTCAAAATAAAAAGTAATAGTAATGCAGATGGTGAAATAGTCTTTTTATTCTTATACAGAATAATCATACCCATGATCACTAAATAT